CTGTGAGGGTGCTGAGGTGCTGGCACAGGGTGCCCAGAGAAGCTGTGGCTGCCCCATCCCTGGCAGTGTTCAAGGCCAGGTTGGACACAGGGGCTTGGAGCAACCTGCTCTAGTGGAAGGTGTCCCTGCCCGGGACAGGGGTTGGAGCTGGATGATCTTAAGGCCCTTTCCCACCCAGACCAGTCTGTGATTCTAAAAGGAAGGAATTCCTTGATGTTAAGTTCATATATTGATATGGTGACTCTTTCCTTGTCTTCTCCTTTAATGATATGCCTTAATTTCCTTTCTCGTAGTAAATGTTTTTCTCCAGTACAACTTGGGGAGGGAAAAGTGAATTCATCTTGAACACCAAAATGATAAATGAGAAGACTTAAAACAGAGCTTCCAAAAAAGCTGAAACTGCAGCAGTTAAATGACTTTTTCTCTCTCCATTCACTGCATTTCTTTCCTCCTTACGTGCAGAATGAAATAGGCATTTCAAAACACTTCTGAGAACTGGAGGGTGTGGGTTTAATGGCTCCAGGTTTTTAGAAGCACTGTTCTTTTTCTTCAGCTGTAGGGCTCAAATAGCGAAGCCTGACATGAAAGCTTCAGTAAGCTGCTGCTCTTTGAAGGTGATTTTATACCTGCTTAGTCACTGGCTGAGATTAGCTATTCTTGGTTTTACACTTAATGAGAAAGAGGTGGTATTTATAGTGGCTTCCTGGGTCAGAGCCTGAACCTGCGTCATCGTGGCGATGGGAGAGCCAGGAGGAACTAATGGTTCCTCTTTATCCCTTCAGATCCATGCCTACAACCTTGAAACCAACACCTGGGAGGAAATTGCCACAAAACCTCATGAAAAAGTTGGTGAGTCTGGAATTTCCCCCTGGAATTTCCCTTAGAGAGTGGCCAAGATGCTTGAAGATGCAGTTAGTTTTCCGGCAGGCTGAAAGCCTTCTTCCTAACCTTGTTGTGCAGTATGTGACAACACTGGCTTCAAGGTCCTGCTTGCTAGAGCTTAAACCCATCTGAAGCATATTTGGCAGCCTGGCTTCTCTCCCTCCCTGGGTGGGAAGGGTGACAGTGGCTGGCTCTCCCCCCAGAACAAGATACACATCACCTCTGCTCCCTCCGAGGCACCATGTGCTGGCCTGGGAAGCAGTAGGGGTTTCCCTGGAGCCTTGACTGCTGCTTTCACCAAAGCAGGGCTGAGAACTGGAGTCTGTGGGAAGGAGATTCCAGCACATTTCTTCCTTCCTTGGAGAGCAAGTAGGAGTCAGACCTCAAACAGCTGGTTGCTGAATTAGAGGTGTTAGACCTGTGGTTGTAGGAAGAAGCCCCTTATAAATGAAACAGGTTCCTCCTATCCATGATTATGTGTTAAATATAAGCACCACTTTGCCCAAGCACTTTAAAGCAACTCTAGCTGATTCTTCTCTTCATTCTCCTCAGGCTTCCCAGCAGCCAGAAGATGCCACAGCTGTGTTCAGATCAAAAATGGTAAGATCTGCCTCTTGAGTATTGGTGTATCTTGCACAACCTAGCAAGGAGAAGCCCATCCTTCTAGCCTGAGAGCTGCTGGCCTCCAGCACACATTTGAGACTCCTGCAGGGCACACGTGTCTTCTTTCTGGAAGAGGATTTCTTCTCATTAACAGGCCTTAAGCTGCCCAGTTGGCACCACTCTGCTTCCCAGGGAAGTGATGGAATCCCTGGAAGTGTTCACACACGGTGCAGACAAGGCCCACAGTGACAGGGTTAGTGGTGGCCTTGGCAGTGCTGGGGAACGGTTGGGCTTCATGATCTTAAAGGTCTTTTCCAACCTGGCACAGTCACTCTCTGGAATTCTGCTGTATTTTATGCAACCTGTAAAGCTCCTGTGGCCACCTCAGTGTAAAATAGCACATGTTTTAGCCAGGATCGTCCATGGCACTTTGCAACCTGTTGGTTGCAAGCTCCTGAGCAGGTATGAATGATGCTTCTGCTGCTGCTTGAGGGCTGTATAGTCTTTACAAAGGCAAAATGAGGCCAAGTCCTGGAAGCCAAGTTCTCAGATGAGATTTGTAGAGCAGCTCCAGTGCCTAAAGGGGCTCCAGGAAACCTGGAGAGGGGCTTTGGACAAGGGATGTAGGGACAGGACAAGGGGAATGGCTTGAACCTGCCAGAGGGGAGATTGAGATGAGCTCTTGGGCAGAAGCTCTTCCCTGTGAGGGTGCTGAGGCGCTGGCACAGGGTGCCCAGAGAAGCTGTGGCTGCCCCATCCCTGGCAGTGTTCAAGGCCAGGTTGGACACAGGGGCTTGGAGCAACCTGCTCTAGTGGAAGGTGTCCCTGCCCAGGGCAGGGGTTGGAGCTGGAGGAGCTTTAAGGTCCTTTCCAACCCAAACCATTCCCTGCTTCTCTGTGGCCTTGGTGCTGGGACTGATTTGGGAGGTTCTGAGATTTTCTGTTGAGGTAAAATGATTGTTGATCCTAAAACTCTTTTGGAAAGGTAATTGCTGAATTAACCATTGCGTGTTCTGCAGCTGCTGCATCAAGGAGGGCTGGGCTGGAAGCACTGTGCGTTTCCTCTCTTACAGATGTGTTTGTTTGTGGAGGCTACAATGGAGAAGTGATTCTGGGAGATGTTTGGAAGTTGAATCTGCAGACTTTCCAGTGGGTCAAGCTCCCAGCTGCCATGCCAGAACCAGTGTATTTTCACTGTGCTGCTGTCACACCAGTAAGTGACTCATTTGTTTCCTTTGTAGCTGAAGTGCAGACTGTTCATCCAACCACTCTGACGTTTGTGTGGGCTGCAGATAGAGCTGAACCAGTGTTACCAAGGAGGTGACCTCCACTGGAGGCAGCCGAAGGCTGGTGTGAGGTCACTGCTGCTGTTTGAAGAGCTGTAACACACAGTATGTTCTGCTCTCTAAAAGCAGGGATGCATTTTAGCTTTTAAACTGTATCAGCTCCAAGGAGTAATTCCATGTGTGAGCAGCAGGTCCTGTTTGCAGAAAGAAAAAGGACAAGTACGCCCCTAAATAAAGTGGTTTTGCTTACTGAGAACAGCCTGAGGTGAAGGATTACAGGTGAGCAGCTCTCTTTGTAAGCCCTAATACTGCTAACACAGTATAGGTTAGTATAGGAAGCATTTATATATGTAACAAAGTATAGGAAGGTGTTGCCAGAGCTTTTTGTGTTAACCAGAAGCTGAGAGACCTGTGATTGATAAGCTGCAGGCAGCAAGAAAGACATTTAGCTGCGATTTCAGCTCATCATCACCTCAGGGCAGTGCGTGAGGGCAGAAATCAGGTTCTTTGGTTGTAAAAGCAGGTTCCACCTCGTTTGGAGCGTGATACAAATGCAGCTTTTTGGGAAGCTGGTCTGATAAAGGTGCTTCCCAAGCAGGGAGCTGCAGGTGGGTGCCTGGACGACAGGAATGCTCTTTCTTTCCCTGTACATTGAAGAAATGCCACTCACAAAATAGGTTAGCAGCTGAGCTGCTCCCATATCCCGTGTCATTCCTGTGCTGAGGCAGCAGAGGGAATGCAGCATGTGTGTGTATGGTGTGGGTTTAGGTTAAAAGAACACATTCTTTTTAGCTGAAACCTAAGTATGGGTCTTTACTAATTTATTAATGCTTTGCCTCACTCTAAAAATTGATGTTTTGGGATAGAATTCCCCTAAAATACAGAGCAAAGCACTCCAAATAGCAGATCCGTGCTTCGGGATGAGCCACCTGCCCTTCAGCAGTGATTCCTCCCCTTGGCTGTGAGAGGAGCACGACTGGCTCAGGCAGTGGCACTTGTGTGCACACAGAGGTGTGTGAGCTGAGTCTCACCCGCTGATTGAACCAGCTGGGAAGCTGGAGAGTTAAATCCTGGGTTTCCTGGCTGTGTTGTTCCTCAGCACCTTCTGTCGTGCCAGGCTGGTCTGCGCCCTCTGTAACTGCCTCTTTTCCCACCTAGGCTGGCTGCATGTACGTTCATGGAGGGGTGGTCAACATCCATGAGAACAAACGGACTGACTCTCTGTTCAAAATGTGGCTGGTGGTGCCCAGCCTGCTGGAACTGTCATGGGAGAAGCTCCTGGAGTACTTCCCTCACCTAGCAACCCTCTCCAGATCCCAGCTTTTGCACCTTGGACTGACACAGGGACTTGTTGAGCGACTAAAATGAGACCAGCTCGTGCTTCTGTCCAAGACACACTACGTTCCAGAAGCCCCCTTTCCACCTCCCCTTATTTATGGATACCATGGATGGTCTTGCTAAGAACATGGAGGAACCTGCTCAGCGCCTTACTCAGCAACTACATCGATGCCTTCCTAGAGATCGTTGCTTTCAGTTGTTGAAAAGCCACTTTTTATTTATGGATCTCTAAATTACACCATTAATCCAAAAAACTATTCTCTGGGACTAATCCATCATATCCAGCCATCAAACTGGTGTCAGCACATGCTTGCAACTTAACTGGGGAGGGTGGGAGCTTCGGGAACGTCCAAGCCCGTGCTTACAGATGGTGCACTCAACTTTGTATTTCCACAAGCTGCATCTAACAGAGGATGCTCAGTGCAGAGCAACAGCCACCCTGTTCTTTTGCTTTGGAGAACACTCATCCCCTACCACCCAGCTGAGCTCTCTAAACCCAAGAACTCCCGCTTGAAGGCTTTGCATGTGTTCCATGGGCATGTTCCCATCTCTTTGAGCTTCAGAAGACGGCTGGAACGTCGCATGGGGCAGCGAGTGAAGCTTTGCCTGTGCAGCTTTTCCAGTGCAGTGACTTGAACCACCCCGTGTCTGTGTGTTCCTCACCTTTTCATATTGAAATGTTTGCTTGGAAGACTGCTTAAAAGTTGCCACTTCATGGACTACTGTGTAGTTTACTCAGGGTGCTGAGGGGAGGGAAAAGGTTTCTGCTGAAGCTTTTTTTAGCTCTTGCTGCTCACATTGCAACAGCAACAACTCACCCTGGAGCTTTCAGAGCTCTCTTTTAACCTGCAGCACCTCAGACTCAGTGCCTGGGTGTGAGCTTTGTTTTCCTTCCTCCCATATAGCACATGTTGGCCTTTTTCTATTCAGCTTCATGTTCCTCTAGGGTGAGAGATGTTATTGCTGAGCGTGGCTTCCTGGCTTCCTGGAAGCTCATGGATCGCTCATCCCAGGAAATAGCATCAAAAGAAGGGGAGAGGGAACATCTCTCTCGCTGTGAGCTGTGGTCATGTCCACCCAGGCAGGAGGCTGGCTCCTGTTCTGCTGTGCTCCATGTACTGTGAAGCTGGCTCTGGAGACCACAGTAAGTGGCTGCTGGAGCAGCTCCACGTGGCTGGCATCATGTTTGTGCAAAGTCCTTTTCAGTTGAAGACCATTTTTAAGTGCCTTTTCTTTTAAATCAGCTTTTCCAAGTCCCTTCCCCTTCCTCCCATCAGAGACAAAGGTGACACTCTGGGGTTTTAGTTTCTGTTGAAGAGATTACATTTCAATAAACCATAGCATTGGCTTTGTGTTGTTAATCTCAACAGCACTGCCTGATCAATCCCTGCTACCCCTTAGGAAGTTCTGCTACCGACTTACCCCAAGATGAAGCTTCCCCTGTTCTTGGGGATAGTTTTCCCCACTTCTGTAGCCTCACTTGCTGCTTTTTTCCCCCCCAAAAGCCCAAGAAAACAAAGGCTGGGCATCCCCTTGCAGCATTCTCCGGTGCTTTGGAGCATCGAAACTGGTGGCAGCTGCTTGTAGCTCTGTTTTATGCCCCCTGTGTTGTACCTTTGCAGCACAAAGGGCAAAGCAGGACCCTCAGCTGTGCCACATGGCTTTCAGAGTCCCCAGTCTGTATTTGGGCTGGCTTCTAGCTCAGAACTGTGCTCCTGGGTTGCAGCATTCCCACAGCTTCTAGCTCAGGAGTGAGCCCAGCCCGTGGAGGCAGCTGGGGAATGGGGTACCTGCTCCCCTGCCTCGGGCTGTCCTCTTCTGCAGGACCACGTTGGGCCACTGGGTCCTTTCTCCACCTCTTCTGGCCTGAGCTCAGTGCAGAGGCTGGAGGTCTGCACTTCAGCTTGGCCTCCAGTTCTCCTGGGACCCTGTACTGGAACCACCTGATGATACATCTGCTGGCTCTGCCCTTACCTTAAAGGGCATCTCCCATCATCACCAAGGCCATATTAAAGCCATCCAAGCCTGGATCTCACTCAGAGCAAGTATTTTCTTGAGCTCTTGTGTCTTCCTCACTGACAAGTTTATGGGGGCAGCAGGAGCTTTCCCCCAGCTGTGAACACAGGGAAGAAGTGGTGGGTGTCAGTCTGGGGCACATCTGGCCTCAGCCTGGCTCCATCTGACATCTCTTACACTGTCACTTAATCTTCACTTCAAGTGGAACATGTTCAGGATGTTACAGCCCTTACCCAGAGAGGATGATAGACCCTTTAACAGCCCTGTGACACCCCAGGTCACTGCTGGATCACCCAAACACAGCACTCAAGGCTCCTCTCATGGCTGGACCACTGGAGGTGCAAGCCCAGAGCCCACCCCCCTCTTCCCAGTCACCTGCATGATGGGTACAAGACCCTGGAGGCTGCTTTTCCTAAAACCTTCCCCATTTTAAGCACTGCAAAGCTCCCAGCTCCCTTCTGAGGGTTTGAGCTCCTGCTGCTCCACTGACACGGAGCTTCTGAATGCTTAAAGCTTCTGGCTCATGGTGGCAGAGGCTTTGCTCTGGGTGCACCTTGAAGGATACGTGGCTCCAGGCTTTTCTTGCTCCATCTCCTGTTGTCTTCACCTGCATCCCAGGTGATGCCCAAGTGCTAGTTCCTTTTAAAGGCAAGTTAATTCCCTCTGTGCAATTCCATATGTGAAAGCAAAAGAGCAGTTACTGCCTCTGCCAGGGCAGAGCCATGATTTCCCTAAGGGAAAGGATTCAGCATCTGCAACTGATGGAGAGACCTTAACAGCATCCAGAAAGCTGCTGAGGATGGGACAGGACACACCAAGACAGAGAAATCCCCCTCAGAACAGGGGTTTGCCTTCACCCCACAACTTACCCCTGCTGCCAGCCCCAAGCAGAGCAGCTCAGGGTGATGTGGGACCTCTCCAGGACATCCTTGTAGCCACCAGCAGGTACTGCTGGGCTGGTCCTGCGTCCCCAAACACAGGCACTGGCTCTAGGAGAAGCCCAAAGCATCCCTCACGCCAGGTAGAGGTTTTCTGCTTAGCCCCAGCTGAGCTGTAGAAGCAGCTGCTCAGCACCATCACCTTCTGCCCTCTCATCCCACACCTTTTCCATCTCTTAGTGCTGTTGAGCCATCAGCCAGCTCCGGATACTCACCCAGGAACATTCCCAACCACCTGGATTGTCCACACTGATGCTCTACTAGGAAAAGAGCTTGATAAAGCAGCACCATTGATTGCTCTTGAGCTGCTGCCCTCCTTTGGGAAGGGGAGGGAGGTCCCAGGCTGCTGCCCACCTTCCTCTGGGCCGTTTCAAGTCTAGTCCTGTCTCGCTGTTGACTATGGGATGGTTTGGAGCCCAGGGTTCCCACTGTAGGCACTGAGCAGTGGTCCCCTCTTTGGTTTTATGCCAGTGTCAGGCTGGGGAGGGAGAAGGGCCCCCGGAGCCTCGGTGCCTGTGTTCATGTGTTGTCAGTGGGGTGGTTTGGGGGGTTTGTTAAAGCTCTCACAATAAATGAGTCCAAGCCCCACGATGGTCCTCTCACCTCACCCACCGGTGCTTCCCTTTGCAGAGGGAGAGGAGCTGGGCCCTGGTCACACCTTGCATCCTGCATACAGCACCAGGAGCATCCTGACCTCCCCAGGAGCCTGTTAGAGGCCTCTGAGCAAGGATGACCCTGGACTAGGCTGGAAACAAGAGCTGGAGCCCAAAGCCACCCCACTGCTGGCTCTGTCCCCATGGCCCGGTGGTGGATGTCCCCTGGCACCTCCTCTGCTGCTGTGACAAGGGACACAGAGCAGGGCAGCACTCAGCAAACAGGGATGCTGGCTCCAACTGAGCCATCACTGCTGCCCAGTGCCCACCACGTCATTGGTGCACCAGGTGGTCACCACCCCAAGACCATCCCCAACCTGGGTTGTAGGGGCCTGGCCAAGTGACCAAAGGCTCATGTAAGAAGAAACAAACTTGTTTCTGGTTTATACAAAACTGCTTTAGTGACAAAAAGAGCTGAAAACCACTTTTTGGTGCATTTCTAGTGCCATCAAGAAGCCCTTTGTGATCCCCAGACCCTGAGTCCCTTCCAGGCCTGGGATCACCCACTGCATGAAGGGCGAGAGGCTCCTCTCGGGCACCTTTTCCCAGTGCAACACATCCTAAGGGAGGGATCTGTCCTTGAGACCACACAAAACCCCCTTCAAGACCCTCCACTAAGAACCATTTTTCTCCCAACCACACCACTGTGGGCTGGAAATCCCCCTGTGAAGTGCTCTGGCATCGTGGTTCCTTCTCGGATCAGGAGTGTTTCCATTGCCACCACTCTTCCCATCACTGAAGCCCCATTGGGACCCCATGGGGGGAGCCAAGCAGCACCAGGAGCTTCAGCAGATGATGCTTCCAGCCTGGAGCCAGCCCAGCCGAGTCCCTGAGACACTGGATCACACCTGGAGAGGTGCTGAACCCAACGAGAGGGTTGGAGAGAGCAGAGTCCAAACCTCAGCAACCACTGGGCGATGGGGCGAAGAAATACACAGCCAGGAGGATGAAGTAGACCATCACCAGCACCGTGCCTAGAGGAGACAGAGCAGGGTGGAGGGGTTACAGCCTGGAGCAAGGAGGGAGCTTGCTTTAAGACCTTCTGGTGTGGTCTGGGTTAACCCACTGTAGAGCACTGCCACGGTCCTTTGGAAAACCTCTGTTTAAACTCTCTCTTAAGGGTGAAAAAGGAGTGATCCCCCTTGGAGCTACTGCAGGGTGGTAGCTCCATCCCTGACCCAGCACCTCCAAGATGGTCAACCAAGACCCCAGAATTGCTCAAGTCAAAGAGCTGCAGTAAGAAGATGACCCCAGGGCCATATCCAGCACAAGGAAGGTGGTTACACCAAGTCCCACAGCAACCTCAGGGGTGAATGATCACCTTGGAAGTAGTCACATTTGCCATCCATGAAGATGTAGTTCATGAGCACCACGCTGAACATGCTGGCGTAGACATGGAGGTCGCTGAAGACAAGTGTGAAGT